ACCAACCTTGCTTTAGCCAGACACTGTCTGTTCTGAGGCACATCTTAAAATAACCCCAATCCTTGCCTTCAACCAGGAAAGTTCCTAAAGTGTAACTAATTTTAGAAGTACCAATACCTATGTGGCTTTTATTCAAATGCACCTGCCAATAAGTAAGTAATAGGACAAGGCAAACACTGAAAAAATAACTCACATTTTTAAACATGTTACTGAATTGTCTTCCTATCCCAATAGTGTTCACTTGATGAATATTCTAGTGAATGAGTTTAGTGACAGGAATGTTAGCTAAAAACGTAACTGAAATCAGCAATTACAGGGTGTTCCCAGAAAGCCATTTTGAATGAGCAATTATTCACTCTGGAAACCTGATTCTAAGATACACCTTCTTTCAGGCAGAGAGCAGAAGTATACCACACATCTATTAGGGATGTAAAAGGTTAACTGACCATAACTGTTAATCTCCAGCCTGTGCCAGGTCAGCCGGAGGGACCTTGGTTAATCAGTTAAACGATATAATTTTAATAGTTTAACTGGTTAACTTTTTAAAGGATATTTACATCCCTAGCATCTATGTGACTAATCAAGACAGCTGAAATTTCAAGTATTCACTACGAACTGTTAATGAAGTTGCTATAGAGCAAGATTTACTGGCATTAACTGGAAAATAGTTTTGAGAAGATCATGATATACACTAATATTTTGCAAAGAGGAAAAACAAAATTTGTTGAATTATGTGCTATGAATTTTTCATCTAGCTCCATTAAACAGCATGTTTACCCAATGCCGTATCTTTATAGTGCACTTCAAAACTAAACAGCAATACAGGCAGTGAGGAATACTGTATCCTTCTAAAATCGCAGGGGAGGTTTAGGGAGATCGATTGTCAGATCTGAATTAGAATCTGGACAGGATACTGGAGTTAACATTCATGCTCCTGTGGAGAGTGTAGCATTGTCTTCAATGACCTCAAGAATTAGAGACCCTTACAAGATTCACTCATATGAAGTCTACACCCTTCTTCCCACACCTGTTCTCAGAAACAGAGAAGCAGATTTTGCTCACCTTGGAGAGCCACAGGAATAGCCTCAACTTGAATTTTAGTTGGTGTCTTCCATCCCAACTGGTCACAAGTTTCACACAGCACATCTGTTACTCCCTGAGAGTAAAAGAAAAAAGGGGACAAACATCAACAAATGGCCAAAAACTACCAAGCTAGCTAATCGAATGCAGGTGACACAGTTAAGTACCTCCCAGCTAGACTCCAACCCAGTCAACCCATGGACACTCAATGCTGCACCCACAAACTGTGGGGATTGCTTTTAAGGAAATCCCTCAACTTAAAAAAAACCCCAAAAGTCAAATCTGTCTGAAAATTTTACCCCCCCTTACTACAAGTACCTGCTAATATCACTATAACTAAGATCACAGGGGGGAAAAAATCTTTTTTTTCCAATTCATGCATTCCACAGCACTTTGTATACAACCAGTTGCATTTCCCCATGTCTTCCCTGTTACTTGGCTGGTTTTTTTTCATATAGAAACAGGGCAGAGAAAAACATTGAAGATCAGAATAAAGTGATTTTAAAAGAGAAAAGTTACCTGGGGGCAGGGGATTAGGACATTTTCATGTACTTCAATTTTTTTTTAACAATCATATTTTATGTTAATAGCATCTCTTTAGTTCTCATATCAAGAGTAACTGAAGCCCCAAATGAAAGCTGGACACTTTGCCAGTTAATACCCCCCACTCCCTTCCAGGATACCCCTGATGCAAAGAGGCAAATAGTACCAGCACAGCACACCTGGAGGGCTGTGTGTTCAGGTCCCACAGCAAGTGCTGGCACCAGGTCTACTTTATACTCTCAAAGATTAAGCAATAAGCAGCAAGACTCAGCAGGCGGGGAAGGGCACAGGGTGGCATCACCCTCAGGTCCCGGGCAGGCAGTAGGGGAGGGCTCGCTCTGGTGCTTGGCCCCGACACCACCCTCGTATCTGAGCCCCGCAGTCTTCAGCGTGCGCCTCTTCCCCGCGCGCGGCGAGGCAGGGCCGGGCTGCACAGAGGGGCAATGGAGACAGAGGGACGCGCCGCAGGGAGCCGGTAGCAGAGCCAGGAACTGAACCAGGTTCCCAAGTCCCAGGTTAACCCGCACCCCCTCCCCCCGGGAGCCGGGCGCGCCAGCGTGAGACGAGGGGGACGGACACCGCGCGGGGCCCAGAACAGGGCGGACCCGGGCAGGAGACGCCGGGCCCAGGGAAGAGGGGGAGGGGCGGGGGGGTCGTTCTCCGTTTGTCTCACCAGGTCCTTGAAGCTCCGCGGCTCTTCCACCGCCTCCTCCAGCGGCCCATGCTCCGCGTCCGCCGCCATCTTGCGCTTCATCTTTGACCCCCCCCCGCGGGGAGCGCCGGGACATGTGGTTCCCGAAAAGCGACGCTTTCCAAAGACGTCACATCCTGTCTCACTCCTGTGGGCGAGGAGTCTGTCTCGAGGCAGGCCAATCGGACGCAGAGCATTGTGCGACTCGTTGTCCCAGCGCGGCGGGCCTCCAGCCAATCAGAGGACGCAACCCAAGGCGCTGTGGGCGGGGCATGTGAGCCGCGTTCCTTCCTGGTACTGCAGAGGTGCGTGTGATGATAATACGACGGTGGGACGGGGCTCTGGGAGCTAGTGAGGCCGCGCCCCCTGCGCGTGTGCTGGGTGCGCGCGCAGTGCTGCTGGATGCTGGGAAATTTCCCCAAATCTGGGAATTTTTGAGTAAAATGCTTTGAATGAAAATTCCCGGTTTCCCAAGTTGAAACATTTTACTCACCAATTCCCAGGTTTGGGGAAATTTCCCAGGATATAGAAACACAGTAAAAAACTTTATCTGGGAATTTTTCACCAGATTTGGGAAATTTTTAGCGCTAGGTTGGGAAAAGTTGGCATCATGCTATAGAAGCACTATGTGTGCGTGCGGCGGGAGGAGGTTATGTGTGGGGGTGAGTGTGTGTGTGGGGTGATACATAGAGCTCCCGCCCGGGGTCAAGCCCCACTGCGGCGGGCGCTGAATTTGTTAGGGTCTGTTCCGTCAGGCGGAGTTGACCTCCGGTGTCTGCATCAAGGTGTGACCTGGTTGGCCTGGTCTGCTCTGCACCCACAGCGCTAACTCCTGCTGGTTGTTTTTTGCCACCGGCTGAGGCAGTAGCCCAGAGTGCTGGGAAGGGTGTTACTCCCGGGCGGGGCAATAGAGTGTTAGTGCAAGTGTCACCCGATGATCAATATCAAGTTGCCCATAAAGCGGTGAGAAAGGAAGCGGAGAGCTCAGGGGCGTCTCATTTTGGTGCTATCAGTGAATTGTGCTTGGCAGGTTCCACCATCCTCACTGATCCATGGTGGAGTGAGAAGGCCAGAGGCGCAGAGCAAATCTAAGACTCATCACCCTTCCCTCCA